CTGGCAATCCATAATTTCAGACAAAAAATGGGGCGGGGTGGGGGGGAATAAAGCATCGTATTTTTTATTTAATCAAAATCTCTTTGATTCCCTAGGAAAATAATTCTGGGAAGATATGAGAACAGCTGCTTAGACATTGCAGAAAACATTTCATTCAGACTAATGAAAGCATTCAAAGCTTTAATATATTGTACATTATTCACATAATTTGAAAATTAAAAAGACAGAGATTTTGTACATAAGTAATAAAATGTGATATGATTTTTACTCTTAACATTACTATGAACTATTCAATAAATTAGTATTAATAATTTATTGATAATTATATCAAATGAAAAATCACACGTCCTTGATAAACTACCAAGCAATTATTTGAAATATTTTGATGTTAGGGGAGAACCTATCCACAAATCAGGGCTCCAACCTCTTTTGACCTGAGATCCTGACAGAGTAGATAAGCATAGCAAGACTAGACTTGACAGAATCTTAGAAAGGCAATATGTAAGGAAAATATAAGTAATGTAGGAAGTTAAATAAACTTATCAGGAGGCTGAGCTCTTTTCTCTGTCTTAGTACCTAGGCAATGCTCAGAAATTAAGATGGGCAGAGCTCTCTTCTCCATTAGCAGTAAAGCCAGGTTTCTTTTGTTAGTGATTCAGACATAAGACATCAGCAAGCACTGAATCCAGGTAGAAGAGTGAGCTTTAGTTAAGAGAGTATCAAATAGACACATGAGAGTAGTGCCCCCGTTTCCATTCCATTGAACATGTGTAGGCTGACATAGCAAAACAAATAATTCGTGTATGTGGCAGTTCTACCTCAAACAAAAAAACCTTTCGATGGAAAACTGCTGCTCCTGGTGTTTTCCCCTCGTCACTCTTCTTCCAAAATGGCTGTGTTCATCTCCTACTTGTCCTCCCACACACTCAAGATCTTGTGTCTGTGGCGTCTCTTACTCAGTTAGCAATTTACTCCTTGCCTGGGAGTTATGCAAACCAGGTCATAGGTGAGTCATTCTTACACATCCCATGGAGAAGTGCCACCAACCCGCATGACAGTAGCTTGTGGGACCTAAAAACCACCCAGAAAACACCTACTAAATTACACCAAATGAAATGCTATCACAGTGACAGATTATGGTGCTGCTCATTTGTTTTGTCTAAATTAGTAGGTCAAGGGAGATTTTATCCCTTCAAGGAAGGGAGGAAGGCATCTATTAGCCTTCAGTGAGATGTATACCTTTGAAAAACAATTTCTCTCACAATAAGGATGTTATCCATGGTGACAAAGTCAGAAACAAATTTAAAACTACATTGTCCCTAACTCTCCCCAGAAGTTTCAACTGAATGTGATATCCTTCTCATATGCTTGCAAGTTGTTTGGGCATTAGTAGTTCATGCTCTATTAAACAGTTCCTCCCAGAGGTAAAAGGATAAAAAAATAAAATTGGTGCTCTGTCTCTGGTTTAGAATGTTTACAAAATGCTTTGAGATGTGTTGGAATAACAGACAGTAAAAGTAGGTTATGTTCACAATTAACATAAAGGTTTTATAAAAAACTTTAGATCAACAGAAAAAATATTCTGAAATATTAATAACCTTTCCAAAATGCAGCTAGAACCTGAGTATAAGCATAAAGAGAAATTATTAGTTCAGCTGCTCTGCAGGATAACATTTTGCATTTTTCTCCTGTTTGTATTAGTTATGGAAAAGCAATCATTTTAGTGCTGGTTGAACAAGTCCAAATGAACCCTTATGGCTTGAACACAGCTCTTTAAAAGGTTTTTCTTTTGAGCAACAAATTACTTATATTACTGCACTTTGCGCTACTCTGGTAATTTTTATATTTTCCCATAATGTTCAAACATTAGAGGGAAGTCGCTTACAATACCCTCACATCAGTATTCTCCTCACTAGCGAGTGACATATTGCAACAATAGCTTATTGACATTAACTTCTACTAAGGCTGAGGATGACTTTCTACATAATGTTGTTTCATTTGAAAGAAAAAGCAGGTTAGGTTGGGTTTGGCTCTGTCAGTTTGATGGTACTTAAACCTTAAAGAACGTCGTTTGGTTCTTACTTGCAAGTGTTGTATTGCTACAGAATATAAATGATAGTTTTATTTCAATTTTTTTCCCCAACCACTGGAAATACAGACTATTTTAAACATACTGCAGCCAGTGACCCATCTGGGATTCTCCTACAGCCAAAATTCCCTTAAAGTTGTGGCTACCAGTTTTCTTGTTTAGTTGGCCAACTTGTCCTTTTTTTAGGGTTTTCTGGGGGAGAGATAAGATCCAGTAATGCAGTAATGCATATAATATGGCATATTCTAGTTTATAGATGCCTATATTTCACTATATATATTTCATGCCTATATATCACTATACGTAAGAGATACACTGCTTCACTTTTGTTGAAGTACACTGTAACCTGCTACGATTTCTCACTGCAACATTTGATTGTTTTTCTGCCCCCTTTAAAAAAAGAAAATATAAGAAAAAAAAAGAAACTTGTCTAGGAGGACAGCCCATTAATAAATCAGTTCTCTCATCTCTAGGGAATAAAATAGCAGGCCACTCACCCCCAGGTCTCTTCCCCTGAGCGTCCCAGAAATAACTGGTACCATATTGTCCTTCATGCCTCAGAGGAGTCACAAGAGGTGTTTTTTCCACCATTTTTCTCAATGGTGGCCTATCTGGTTTGTCCTCCCTGAGGAGGAACAGCTGATTTGAGCATAGTGGCACATTTTCCACAGAGGCAATCTTGTTACCTGAAAGCATCTTGCTGCTGCAGGCCATTTGGTGTTTTTACTGGTGTACAGCTGATACTACCCAAAGTAACAAGCTATTTCTGTAATCAGAAGCTCTCAAAAACTAGGACAAGACTGGATAATGGCCCACTACTCTTCACTGCCATTCAGTGAAAAACAACATCTCATGGACAACTGGGAAATAAGACTGTAATTAAGAAATATATTGGTCAGGCCAACCCTCAGCACCACCTCTACCCTCTGGACAAGTGTCAATGCCATGAAAAGTACAAACTTAATTTTCTAAAGCTCGGGGTGGCTTCTTCAGAGCTGGCTCAGGTACCTTGCTAGTGAACGCAGGCGGCTTTATGCTGAGACCCAGGATAGTTTTAGTGACTTGAGCCCCATGTACAGTCCTTGATTCAAGTGTTAAACAGAATGGGATCCCATGGATTTCAGATCGAAAAAGAGCCAGGGTAGGCTCTGCGCCTCCCCCATCAGGCACAGGCTGTGGTCTTGTACCAGGGTAGTGGTGTTGAAGAGCAGAAGTAAAGAACAAGCCCATCAAAGTCGATGCTTTCTGTAGGCAAACTCTTAGGAGCTGATCACTCTACATCCATGAGCCTTCCTTTTATCTTTTTCTTGCTCAAGTGCCAAGCAGGGAGCAGATGGTACATTACTCAGCCTTAACTGGAGGGTAAGAAAGTGTGATTTCTTTTTTTTTTTAAATTCAGTTGAGACCCTCAGCCCATTTAGATTCCCAGCTCAAGGTTTATTTGTCTTACACAGAACGTGTACTTTCTATCCCTCTCAAATGCTAATCTTCTCCACACATATGCTCATTATGCAAAAGCATATGACAGATACCATCTGGGAAAATAAATAGCTCCTCAGCTAACAGTGCTGCTCCTTCCCTTTACGTCACCCCCCTCACTATTGTCTCTCCTATTTTTATCTGCAAGACAGCAATTACTCAATCCAACTATTAACTTAAAAGTGCCATTTTAGTCAAGCAAGCCACAGATCCCAGGCTGGGCAGTAAAACCCATTCTATTTTTCAAGATGGGCATCCTCATGAAAATTTGAAAGCAGCTGTAGCACTGAGAAAAATACACATTACCTTTCAAAGGGCAGTTGATATTACTGAGAGATACTAGTCCTGACCTGCAGAAGTCCATGCTTGTTTTTTTAGCTGGGTGGTTACATTTTGTCCTACATGAAATATGCAGCTCTTGCCAAAAGTTCCACCTTGTTTCCATGGATTCCTGTGATAGTCCTTTGTCTCTGACAAGATTATTGCTCATACCGTTCAAAGACAGGCAATGGTGCTAAACAGAGAATGACATAAGCCAAGTTCAGTGATTTCTCTAACCTCTATGTAGATGGGTAAGAATAGGAGTCATGCTGTCATTAATCATGATGGATTCATTGTCTGCCAGAATGTTAATCAAAAGAAATTAGGATGTATATGCATTAGAAAGGCATCTCAGAATATTCTGATTTTTACCAGTGGATTAGGAAAATCATTGCAATTCAGCAAAGGAGATGTCTATTTATCGAAATTAAACAGGATCTGCATGATCCAACCATATTGTGTTGAGGCTAAGTAACCAGGGGAAATTCAAAATGCACAACCAGGAGACTCAGCGGCTGACACTGTGATATAAAGGCAGAGCTTTGTAAGTACCCTATAAGAATTGTGGGGCCATAAACACTGCAATATTATATCTGTTTAGAAAAAATATGAGACAGAATTCAATGATGACCTTATCTGAGCTACAAATTCTTGTCAACTATTATATGCTTGTAGGGCCATGTTTAATAGATGGCAGATAGTCTTTATCATTTGTCCTCAGAGACAGCGCTGATATTGCCCAGCTAAGAAATCCATTATAGAGCTACAAAAGAGGCAATTTGGTTTCATGAGCACGTGCCTTTATTATTTTAAGAATAATTTAACATAGGCAGAGGAAAGCAGAACCTGTGTGGAAAAAAAAAGACCAGGGTTTTCAGCATTTGCAGTTACGAGCTTCTTACTTCTCCTGAACTTTTTTTTTGGTGGAGACATTATTTTTGTTTTCCTCCCTATTGACTCCACTGGGAGTTTCACCTCACCTGAAACAGAGGGGTTTAAGTCTGGTATATGGTTTGGTTATCAGTGTTGCTTAGAATACATGTGCATGTGCAATACACACCCTGTGCTGCTGAATACACCCTCAACTCTCTTCTCTTTGTTGTTACAACAGACGAACCAAACTCCTGGAGTGCTCCCTCTGCCACCTCCCCAGGTCTGCCGGAAGTAGCTCTTTCCCTCGAAGACATAATCTCACCATTATCTTCATCACACATAGCCCCACCCTCTGACCCTTCTCACCAGATAAGCCTAGAGCCAACATGGGATATCAAGAGGGAACATGATGTAAGGAAACCAAAGGAGCTTTCGGTGAACGGTCACAAAAAGAAAAGGTTAGGAGAACAAAGAGAAAGGTCAGCAAGTCCTAAAAAGGTAGACAGGTCAAAGCATGAAGAGGCTTCTTGGAAAGGATATTCAGAAAGCAAAAATAAGACCACTGATGGTGGCAGGCCCACCTCAGAAAGCAAAGCGGTGGGACACAGCATTATGATCGAGGCTGGTGCAAGAGAGCACGTGTGTGCTGGAACCAGCAGTGATGAACAGTTTGGGAGGGTGAGGAAGCCAGAAAGCAAGAGAGGAGGATCTCTTAGCAAAAAAGAAGATCACAGATCCACAAACATCAGTGAGAAGAAGTCAGCTGCAGCATCTGACCATGTCAAGATCGATACAGGTGCTACCAAGACGTACAGTAGCAACCGCTGCAGCTCGCCTGGAAGTGATATGGACCACAGCCAGAGGGAGCCTGATGGGAAACCCAGCGAGTTCCCCAGGAAGGGACATCTCCACTCCATTAGCACTCGCAGCACCAACACCACAGTTCGAAAGGCAACGGTCTCCCCAGGGCCATGGAAAATACCTGGCTCAGATAAGCTACCTAGCGTCCTGAAGTCTGGTACTTCTGCCATGAGCAGATAAGCAAGGGACTGTTGCCCTCTAACTGTCTCAAACTGACGCAGAACATTCTTCTTAGTTTTTGTCTCACATTGGTTTGTTTTAATTTATTTTAACTATCACACATATACACAAAGCATTGAGGAATGAAAACATTAGTGTGTAATTCCATGACAATGTGCACAGTATCTAATAAGTTCAAAAGCATATAGTCAACACGGAGATTTAAAATCGACCCTAAAGTCCCAGTTCCATTTTAGGGACTTTGGCAGCTATGGAAGAAACCAAAACACTATGAAGGACAGTACATCAGAGAAGGATAGTGCAGTGTAGCTTTAGCATTTTTTTCCCACTGCATGAAGGACTTGGATTTCATTCAAACTTTATATCAAGAAACTGGAACAAGTTAGAGCAATCACAAACTGGAACATCGCCTTAAATAAAACTGCACGGAGCAAGCTGAAAGCGAGAGAGGATCTTTTCGTGGAGCTAAAATGTTGTAAATAAATTGTTCTCGACATATCTAGACAGGGGTTAAAGGGTTTCTTTGAAGCATCTTTCGGGACTGTACACCCATGACACGTCTCCACTGTTAACGCTTTGGGATAGTCCACGTGGTACCCCGTAGCATAGTTCACTGGGAGCTAAGGGAGGAGTGGGGAATCCAGTGGATTAGTTTCTGTGATACCATTTCTACTGCCATTTTTGTGAACAAACCATGTTTCTGTACATTGGAAAGGAGTTAGGGTGGAGTTGTATTTGAAAATTATTCTCAAAAGCGATTTATTACAGGTTCCCCAAGTACTGTGAGGTAGCACACAAATCAATTGGTCAGGCTCAAACCCCAGATGTCTGCAAGGCCCTTGTAATGAAAGGAGGAGTGCTACAGAGAAAAAGCTGCAGTTTCCTTAAGGAAAGGCCTTTCCTTCCTGCAGAAGATGATAGCATCACTTATCAACAGTGCTTTGTTTCATACCCATCCACATTTATTTAGGACACTATCACCTTTCATCCCCTCAGTTTGGCAGAGCAGGTGCCTTTCAGGCACATGTAAACAATAATTAGACTGGTTTCTGAAATACAGTTGTTGGTGTCCTCATTCAGTAAATTCAATATATTTCCATTTTTAAAATGGTTTCCATTTTATCATTTTTTCCCTTTCTCAAATTTTTTTTCTTTTTGTCTCTTTGTTTTTATCTTTCTTGCTTGTCTGTTTTGAATTTCAAGCCTTAAGTGCCAGGTAAACATTCCAGTCTGCCTTCACAGGAAATAACTCCGAGTTCAGTCAATCAGTCATTATCTTGTTTCAAAAAGATGCGTGTGTGTCTGTGTAAGTGTGCATATGCTTATTCGTCTGTCAAAATTAAAACAAAATCCTGGGCAATAATACATTGGTAATTTAAAAAAAAAAAATCATAAAGCTAAGTACTGTCAAAAATTCGTATTTAAAAATTATTGTTCACTAGCAATCTTAGTTCCTCACATGCTCTGCTGAAAAACTAGATTGAGATTGGCTTTGTTCCAAGAAATTAGCACATTACTGTATGTCTCAAACATTGCACTGGACTGTGAAATTTATAGACATGTTTCTTCCTGTCCAATTATTTGAAAAGCCTCAAGTCAAGGATTTTGCAGCTTTCAAACTTTTTTTTTTAGAAAGAAAAATCCATTTATAATTTCTAAAAAAGCACAAGTCCATGTAGCTGTTTATAAAACTCTTATTTAATGGGAAAAAATAAATCTTTAAAAATAAATCTTTATCCCCTGAACTAGAATCCAATATAATTTGCCATTAATTTATTGAATCTGATTTTGGACAATGCTTCTGTAGTGTAGATGCACGTCCCAGTATCTTATTTTTATGTATAAAGAAAGCAAACAATGAAATCTGAAAAACAGTTGAGATTATGCTTGCATAAACTCTAATTTGCACAGTTCACAGCTACTCCTTGTGCAGTAATTGCTTTATGCGGCTGTAATCGATAACCTGTGAAGACAGCACATCATCTAAACCCCATTCCAAATAATATTTCTGTGTAGTGTTAGCTGTGAATTTACCCTGTACAGCTCTATCTCTATAAATATAATTCCATGTATTAATAGTCACAGAAAGGCTGTAAGTGAGCAACTATTTTTATGAAACGCACCACTATGGATAAATTAACTTTTACAGAAATCTTGTTTACTGTATGATATTCTAAACCACTGTCAAATAAAATATATATCCAAAAATCTTTCTTTTTTCAATTGTATATAGTCTGTGTTAATTTTGAGTAACAAGTGTTACCCTGAGAAACAATCATTTTCATGCATATAAGCAGAGTTAATTAGCTACTGCCTTACAAAAAAGGAAATGATCCATTTGGATTTCTTATTTCCAAAGAATGGTACAATTTATGAATATACATGTAGGTGACCAAACAAATTCCATAATGGCAAGTTAAGGCCTATGAGCTACACAGACACAGAGAAATGTATTCCTTGGTGGAGAAGCCTAAACTCTTATTCTCTTTCCAGTCCCAGGAGACATAGGGGTAGTAGACAGACTCCCAGCACTGAGAAACAACTTCTGAGCATACACTTTATAAAAAAAAATAATCTGAGCATATACCATATTTACCACAGAAATCTGGCAGTTCTAACTAGCCCTAGGAAGGTTTTATTGACAAGCTGAATGAAAGGGGCATAATTGCATTTCCAGTTTACTTTGCAGAGATAATGTCTTAGAAAACACCATAAGGGTATAAAAATATTGGTAACCAGACAGTCTTCTGGGGCTGAATACACTCCTCGTTGAACAGAACAGAAAAATGCTCCTTACCTTCAGTTACGCAAAACAAATCATCAGTTTACAGACTGTAGACACTGTAAGATGTGGAAAACCAGCAATATTTTTCACACAAATGTGACATTTGAAAAAATAAACATTTCCTGTTTCCTTAAAGTATAATTTTCTTCAAAAAATAATTATTTGCCTTCATACAGCCTGAGTCAACTTCTGCAGAGCCTTGTTTTTCAGAAGATTGATGTTCCACATAGAAAATTTCAACCAGCTGAACTAATAACATCATTTTGCATTACAATAAACACATAGCAATTATGAAACATCTTTGATACTCAAAGAAACATTTACTGCTCTTTAAATAGCTGATATTTCCATGGCTGGAAATCCAAGTGTGTGCCTAATTCAGACCCAGAGGTATGGCAGGAAAATGTGCTGAAGCCATATAGCCTCAACCAATCTAACTTTTTCTGTTAATAACGTCTTTTCTCTTTTAAACATAGTAATACAGCATTTGCATTGCAGTGCCATTCCTGTGACCCCTTTTAATCTCTCTTTTTCATACCTGTGCAATAATACAAGGAAATAGATGCTTATTTTGATGCAGACTCTCTGCTCCAAACTCCAGTGCAGCAGTGTAAGTAAGCTTACCAACCTATGATCAGCAATGCACATTTGGGGACGAGTTTTGGTAAAACCCCATAAAGAGATGCTGGTGCAGCCCTTTTCTTAATCAGTGGCAAATGTGGGCTCTCTGGCTCATTCCTTCTCCAGGTGTTTCTCTGCTTTAGGAAGTCCACACAAACTGCAGAGTCTGGAGGAGCAGGTCTTCAAACAAGTTTAATAAAAAAGCCATAAAATTTAATAATTCCCACAAGGTCTCACCAAAGATGCCATCCTTTCTTCCAGAAAGCTGCAGGACTGACAGCATTCTTCATTTAGTTACAACACAGAACAGGTTGCACTTGTTTCACTACGCTGTGGTCTTCTAAACAGGAGGGACATATGTCCATGGGCTACAACCTCCTCCATGGCCTCAGTGATAAGACTGCCAACAATTTAGCCCCAGCTAAATAGCTGCCTGCTAGGAATTGATGCAGAAGTTCAAACATAGCCCCATTTCTTCCCTGATATTTTTCATCTGAATGTGCAGCCAATCAGCATTGCCAAAGAGCTGCTTATCTTCATCAAACATGAGATTCCATCTGATTAGTGCCATCTCTGCTGAACACAAACATCTCATGCTTAGCCCCCTTCATATCCTATGTGCTCTCAGCACCACCAGATCTATTCTGAATCTCTTCCTCTACAGCTCCCCACTGCTCTTGTTTTTAATCCTATCTCTAAGGTAAGTGCTGCTGCTTTTCAGTAGATCAAATCTTCCATTCTTCATTTTCTCCTTCTGTCCCTCAGAACTTCGTCTTCCTCTTTTTTCTCTTTCTTTTGGCACTCTGTCACCATCTGGCATCATTTGTCACTCTCAACGTCTCTCTGGCATGTCTCAGCAGCTCAATGTGACGCACCTCTCCTAAGAGATGTCACAACCAGTTACACACCAAGACATTAACACACTCCTGGGTGTTATATAAACATACAGACACACCTAATACCTTGCACTGAAGCCCAAATTACCTGCCTTGTCCTCCAGAAACCGGTGGTTACTCATTAGACATACTAACTCTACATGCAGCCAGTAACTACCTTTGCAAGTGCAAATAATGTTTTACCTTCATTGTTAAATGTCTGTCGTGATAATGATTCAAGCATTCAGGCTGGGTTTTGTGGATGCAACATGCCATGATCTCTACTGGAAGTCTCTAAATTTGTTTTACAAAGGCAAGAACAGGTAAAGCTGCAGGCACACTTCTGTCTTAGCCTTTTATACTCTTTTTGTACCTCACTGCTGCCACAGAAACCCAGAGCCAGAACTGCAGAGGCATAAGTAAAAGAATACACCTCAGCAAATGAGGATGTCACCCTCCAGGTTTCTCCTTGCTTGGAGGGAAGCTTTGCTGTGAAGGAGAACCGTTTTTTGGCATGCTGCCATGGAGCTCAAAGCTAGAGAAGGCTTTGGACTTGCTGAGGGATGACTGATCCCATTAGGGATTGACTTCACATCTGTAAGTCTCCAAAAGAATCCTTTCCCACTTTGTCCTCTTGAAGCCTAGAATATTTTCTGTAATTGCTGCTAAAAAGGCCACAGAGGCATGGCACGCTGCCTGCTCTCATGACTAATAGAGGACTTGGAGAGAATTGCCGTGGCTGTGTCATGTCACCTCTATCATACTCAAGGACTCCCAAGGCTCTTTTACTATCTGTGTAGAGGCCAAGAAAAGCAGACTCTCAGAACCAAACAATACCTTTACCTTCACAGTTGTCATCCAAACAGTGAGCCGCTTTAATTAGCCATCAGTCCCAAAGGGAAATCCAGTGCACTATCTGGACAGAAACAGCTGTGCTCCAGCCAGGGCTCACACATCACCAGTGCCCCAAGTCCCTCACAGGTCCCCTGCTCAGCACTCAGGACTGTCCTCTCCCTTGGAGCAACAGCCTCTCCCCACCACCCAAGTAAGTACCCGTAGTCTCTGTGTTGCCACCATCCTCCTGGAGCCAGGGCACGCATGCTCAGTCCAGCCTTGAGGGTTCTGCAATATTTTTCTTAGTATTTCTAACAATAGTTACATGATCACACATTTATCTCCATAGCTGGCACCTGAGCTTAGAGCAATTTTTTTTCAAAATATCTTGTCAAGACACAGTAGCATAAGCAATATCTCTGAATTACAGCCAATCTTACAATTATGTTCTGCCATTCCTGTCTTTAGTGCCTTTATGGCAGTAAGTCACTCTGCCCGTTCAATTAATCCATAAGAAGAGTTTTGCTTACAAGGTAGGAACACAAGTGCACAAATACCCACTCATACTCACACACACAGGGGCCTGGAGCATCATCTTCCACTCCCACGCAGGAAATGCCAAAATAACCATGTCTGAGATGGATGGATGTCCCTCTCAGGAAAAAACCACATATGGATGCAGACTAATCCAGAAAGTTATTGTTCATCCACAGATCAACTGCTGTAAATGTAGAATACATTTAAACTGAAAAAAAATAAGCAAGAAATTGTGTGAGGAAAAAGGAGTGATGGGACTTTCTATGATGTGGCCACATGCTGACCTGCTCTTCTTCATGCTGACCTTTCAACTCCTTCAAGCGTGAAAAATTGAAAAGGGTGATCTATTAAACATGACAAATGTTGCAACAAAGCACTGTGTGTCTTGGGGACAGCAAGAGAGTATCTTTGGTGATTACACTTCTGAAAAGAATTAATTTATTTAAGTAAAAGGCGTGGGCTGGTGCCAAGGAGAGGAGAGGAAACTGTCCTCCAAGGGCAACGCTGATGGGCTCCTCAGACACAGACTAATCCCCCAGTTTCTCCAGAGGTTGCAGCCATATTAAGCAGCATCAGCAGTGGGCTTGGACTGCCATAATGGGCTGGTAGCGTCAATTACTTTCCCAGAATGTAGGAAGGTTGAGAATCCAATCCCTGGGATACTTCTCTTTATCTTTGTGCCCTAGGACTGGTGCATAGCACCAAGGGACAGCTCTGTTGTCCACCCAAAGATGTTGTAGATGTGGAAGCAGTGGAAGGAGTAATTAAAATATGAAAGTCAACCCAGACCTATGGTGAGAGCCCCATTGCAGCTGTAAGCTGGAAGAAAGGTTCTGAGCAACTGCAGATCCCCAGCTACATCAAGAGTGAGATCAAGGCACTGGCATCCTTCTATCCTTTCTCTCTCAGTAAATTGAAGTCATTGCTGTCACTGAAGTCACCTGAATTATTTTCACTGCTTTTCTAACACTCTACAAGAAATGTGGATTTTACTTCCTGGACTGCCCTTTGCTCAAAACCGGTCAACAACAGGCACCTCAAGCAGCCCAAAACTCTCCTGCCGCCACCAGGCAGCAGGACTGCCCATGGCTCTGAAGTTTCTTTTCATACATATGTATGGAATCAATGAATTTTGGTGTTAGTACTTTCCAAAAGTGATTAAAAACTATGCCAAGAGCTTTAACTAAAGTACTTTAATAATTGCAGTCCATAAACCAGAAAATTGTTCACCCTGCCACTAAACCAGCAACTATAAAGAGCTAGAGGTAAGTACCTACTTAATTCAGGAAGAAAATCAGACCTTTCCGTGCATAGTCCAGAAAGCTCACCATGTACTAAACACTTATTCCAATTAGCACTTCGCTCACTCTAAAGTTTCTAAAAAATAAGCCCAGCAGGCAACATGGAGCACTGGAATGTGTTAGTACAGAATATTTCAGAGTACCTCTCAACCCTTGAACATCACAAACAATGCTAAATTGATTACTCTTTTATATCATCCTGGCAAAGATGAATGCCCCCTCCTGTCCCCTATATCCCTGGTACTGCCCAGCTTT